AAGTTGTATCATCTGCATATCACAGGTTGTTAATTAGTTTCCTCTAATCCTGATGCCACGTTTTTCTTCATATAACACATCTTCTCTGATTATTTGTTCAATATACAGATTAAATAAATATGGTGAAATAATACAACCCTGGTGCAAACCTTTCCTGCTTTTAAACCATTTTGCGTCCCCTTGTACTCCGAATGACTGCCTCTTGGTCTATATACAGGTTCCTCATGAGCACAATTAAGTGTTCCTGAATACTCATTCTTCACAATGTTTGTTGTTCATGGCTTATCATGATCTACACAATCTAAAGTCTTTGCATAGTTAATAAAGCACAGGTAAACATCTTTCTGATACTCTCTGCTTTCAGCCAAGATCCATCTGACATCAGCAATGATACCCCTCATTCCACATCCCCTTCTGAATCTGGCCTGAACCTCTGGTAGCTTCCAGTCAGTGTATTGCTGCAGTGTGTTTGGAAATACTTTAGAACATTTTTACTTGCATGTGTTATTAACAATATTATCCCATGATTTCCACAATCCATTGAGTCACCTTTTTTTTTTAGAATGGGCACTAAAAACCTTCTCTTCTAATCAGTTGACCAGGTAACTGCTTTCCAAATTTCTTGGCATAGAGGAGTGAGTGCCTCCAGTGTTGTATCAGTTCATTGAAAGATTTCAATTTGCATTCCAGCAATTCCCAGAGCCTTGTTCTTTGCTAGTGCCGTCATTGAACCTTGGACTTCTTCCTTCTGCCAATGGATCTTGATCATATTCTAACTCTTGAAATGCTTAAACATCCAACATTTCTTTTTGGTACAGTGACTCTATGTATTCCTTCCATCTTCATTTGTTATTTTCTGTGTCATTCAATGTTTTGCCTATAGACTCAAGCCTTCACTATGGTTAGTCGAGGCTTGAATTTTATCTTCAGTTTTTTCTGCTTGAGAAAGGTTGAGTGTGTTCTTCCCTTTTGGTTTTCTAACTCCAGGTCTTTGCAGATTTCATTATAATATATGACTTTGTCTTCTCAAGCTGACCTTTGAACTTTTCTGTTCAGCTCTTTTACTTCCTCATTTTTTTCCATTAGCTTTAGCATCTCTACGCTGGAGAGCAAGTTCCGTCTCTTATGACATCCATTTTGGTCTTTTCCACTTTCTTGTCTTCTTAATGACCTTTTGCTTTTTTCTTGTGGTCTTGATGTCATCCCACAATTTTTCTGGGTTTTAGTCATTGGTGTCAAATTAATCAATTCTGTTCTTGAGATGATCTCCACACTCAGTGGAGATATGTTAAAGGGCATGTTTTGACTTTCGTGGGCTTGTTTTAATTTTCTTCAGCTTCAGCCTGAACTTGACAAATCTGCTCCCTGACCTTTTTTAGCTGATGATATGGAGCTTTCCCAGTGTCTGTTTCCACAGGTGTAGTCAGTTTGATTTCTGTGTTTTCCATCTGGTGAGGTCTGTGTGTATAGTCATCTTTTATGTTGTTTAAAAAAGGTATTTGCAATGAAGAAGTCATTGGTCTTGCAATTCTATCATGCAATCTCCACTATAATTTCTATCACCAAGACCATATTTTCCAACTACTAATCTTCCTCTTTGCATTCCAATCACCAGTAATTATCAATGCATCTTGATTGCATATTTGATCAAGTTCAGATTGAAGAAGTTGGTAGACTTCTTTTCATCATCATTGGCTTTAGTGGTTGGTACGTAGATTTGAATAATATTTGCATTAACTGGTTCTCATTGTAGGTATGAAGGAGTTCTGGTAGTGTAGCAGTTATGAATTGGGCTGCTAACCTCAAGGTCAGTAGTTCAAAACTACCTACTGTTCCATAGGAGAAAGATGAGGCTTTCTCTTCCCATAAAGATTTACAGCCTCGGAAACCCTATACAGGGTTACTATAAGTCAGAACCGACTCCACGGCACATAAACCGGCATAACTTTGTAGATACATGGATATTGTTTTATCAGAGAGAGCATTATACTTCATGATAGATCTTGAAATGTATAGATTCCTCTTCAATTTGTCATTCCCGACAGTAAAGTGTGTGATCGTCCAGAATCAAAATGGCCACTATCAGTGTATTTCAGCTTACTAATGCCTAGGATATTGATGTTTTATACCTTCGATTTCCTTTTGACAACTTTCCAATTTTTCTAGATTCGTAGTTTGTACATTCCATGTTCTGATTATTATTGGATGTTTACTGCAATTTCTTTTTATTTTGAGTTGTGTCCCATCAGCAAATGAAAGTACCATAAGTTGTATTCCGTGTCATCACAGTCAACTCGACTTTGAGGAAGCAGCTCTCCTGCAATTTTATTTTGAGTGCCTTCCAACCTGAGGGACTCATTTTCCAGCACTCTGTCTGACAATAGTCTTATGCTTTTCATCATGTTTCAATGTTCAGTGATCTGGTGCTGACAGAGTTCCACTACTGTTTATAAGGTTTTCAGTGACCCAATATTCAGAAGTAGTCCATCTCTCCTACTTCCTAGTCTGTCTTAGTCAGGAAGCTCACCTGAAATCAGTCTACCAAGGGTGACCCTGCTGGTATTTAAAATATTGATGGCATAGTTTCCAGAATCACAGCAACACTCAAGCCACCACAGTGTGACAAACTGACAGATAATTGGTGATTTAAATTCATAGACTTTATATTTTGTAGCACTCTTCGAATAATTGAAAAAAGGGGTAGAAAGCACTGGGAGTTCCTGAACACCTCATCCATTTTTGCACACTCTTTCCACAGTTTCCTTTAGGATTCACTCATGGCTGCACATGTCTCTGGGTTCTGACACATTCACAACAGCTTCCTGCAGAAGGATGGCATTGCCCTCTATCCTCCTGCGGGAACAGGTGATGCAGAGAAGGTAGGAGTAGGATGTCCCTGCCTCACAGTACAGCAGCTCCCCTCCCGTTGCATAAAGTGAGACCCCGGCTCCACACAGACCTTCCTCCTGGAATCCTGTCATTGGCACTTGAGTTGACTGCACTCTCAGACTAGTGACGTAGACTTTCCCAGCTTCATCAACAGATTGGGATCATAAGGCACAGATGAAAAGCGAAGGAGTTGGTATGCCAAGATCATTAAGAAGAGTGGCTATCACAGAGACAGTTCTCAATAACACAAGCTATAATCTTTACCAAGGATTCCTCGTGGCATAGTGGGTTTCAGTTCCAGAATGCTAACTGAAAGATATTTGTTGCTCTTTGCTACAGTAAAGATTTACAGCCTCCGACACCCCACGGAGCAGTTCTTCTTGGCCTTGTAGAGTCAGAATCAACTTGACATCATGGGGTTTGGTTTTGGTTTTCATAATAAGAATCTTTTTTTTTTTCCCATTCTTCAATTACAGGAAGAGAGATATATGAGCCCCTGGTAGTGCAGTGATTAAGCATTCATCAGCTAACAAGAACACTGGCAGTTGGAACACACCAGCTGCTTCATAGGGAGAGAGACCTAACATTCTGTTCCATCGGTGACTACAGATAGAGAAGTTTATGGGACATTCCTCTTCTGTCCACATGGGATTGCGTTGTGTCAAAATTGACTGGTCAGTGCCAAACAACAGCATCATATATGCCATTATAACTCAGAGATGACTTAAGAAATTAAGGTAATTCACAATATTTCAAAACCACACCTGACCCATGTGCTGAATAAACTGTGATCCACTGAGACATCCCACACTGAACTCATTTCAATTAGAACTGGCGCCACAAAGCACGTTTTGTATGGTTTATATCTAACTCCAAACTGTAGAAACAAGAATGAAGCCTAGAGTTAAGTACTTCGGAGCATACTAGGAACTCAACTATAACAGGGTAGTGGCCAAATCATTAGCTATGGAAATTAATGGTGCAAAAAGTCTTATTCTCAGCAGCTACCTCAGAAGACTAAAATGGTTAGGTTCACCATTTCCTGAATTGCTTTCCATCTTTCAGATTTTTAGCATCTTGTCCTCGAAAGGAGGCAGACAGTGTTCTAAAGGGCAGTGAAAAAAAAAACCCCTCACTCCTTGGTCAATTGAGTGTTTGCTTCTGTATTAATTGGATTCCGGCTTGGTGTTGGTTGTGTGGGATGAAATGCTGTGGAAATGACAAACTGAGTAGTGTGTTCCTCAGGTCATGGGGCTCAGCAAAATGTGTATTTATTTCTGAGTTTCCTACGTTTCATCTGTTCGACAAGGTGTTCTGACACTCACCAGGGAGACTTCCAGATAGGAAATGCAAATCAGTCAGTGTTGCCCGCTACCAAAGTCCAGCTTAATCTTGCAAATCAAATGCAGGTCTTGGTATTTCAGGAAAGGTTTTAGTTGAAGTCTCAGGCACATATTGATTTAAAATTCCGACTTGAGAGAGCAGAGTGATTTTTTTTTCAGCTGTAAATTGTAAAATACAGCACAGCATTTTAGAGACTGATTTAGTGCCTGGACATCTTGCCATATTTGCTAATAGGGAAACGGCAGTGGAGTGGGGTGAAGTGGGAGGCCAGGGTACCCTTACACAACATGGCAGTTGCTGAGCTGACTAAATAATACATTACATCTGCATTTACTGAAGTGATGTTCTGTAGCTCGTCCCTTGGTGTAGAGTCGGACCCAGTCCACCAATGATGCATGTTTCCCTAACATCTGCACTGATCAAAGAAGAGGGTTTCAACTTGGAAGGACAGACCATAGCAAAAATAACACTACACCAAGTTCCTCAATTTGGGGATGGTTAAATGAAATAAATAAACTAAAATAATAATTTTAAAAAAACATTGGAAATGATACTGTTTGCGGGAAGAAATGAAATTGTCTTGCTTCACGAGCACAAGCTGACACATTCTAATAGCTTTTCTGCTGTGCACAATAAGCGTTCAGCTTATCTTTCCAAGAACAATACAATTTCATGTAGTGCTGCCTGACATAACAATTATTTGTACATATCTCCATATCGCTGACTCTCTTGTAAGTTAATCTCATCTCACATGAATTTTTCACCAGCTTCACTCTGATGTTGATAAAGGAGATGGGTCCATCAAATACATCTTGTCAGGCGAAGGGGCAAGTTCCATTTTCATTATTGATGAGAACACTGGGGACATCCATGCCACCAAGAGGCTGGACCGGGAGGAGCAAGCCTACTACACGCTCCGAGCTCAAGCGCTGGACAGGCTCACCAACAAGCCAGTGGAGCCAGAGTCGGAGTTCGTCATCAAAATCCAGGATATCAATGACAATGAACCCAAATTTCTGGATGGACCATACACTGCAGGAGTGCCCGAAATGTCCCCTGTGGGTAAGTATGGGATCCGCTGTCTTCATGCCATGTCATATTTTAGGTGATTTGTACTTAAAATTAAATCATCCTAAGGAGCTCTGGTAGCGTAGTGGTTACGAATCGGGCTGCGAACCGGAAGGTCAGCAGTTCGAAACTACCAGCTGCTCCGCTGGAGAAAGATGAGGGAGATCTGTTCCCGTAAAGATTTACAGCCTCGGAAACCCTGTGCAGGGTCACTATGAGTCGGAATCGACTACATGATACTTAATAACAACATCAACAAAGTACTGACTGAAAAATCATGTCAGTCTTAGCATACCCGTAGTCTTTTAGGGCAATCTCTGGAACACCTTAGTCACCAATACCCAAATCATATGAATTCCACACATTATCTTATTTGTATGGAGAGTTAGGGTGCAGCTATGAGAGCAGTCTCTCAGTGTCTTCAAGAACATATTTCAGTCTGCCATTTCCTTTTCCGTTTATGGTTAAAATTGAAAAAAGATTGTAATTATGCATAGGATGTTAAAAACCCCAAGTCTTTCCTGATACAGCTTTGTGATGAACTTTTACTTTTGGTTCAGCTGACATCAAGTTGGGAGCCTTAGTGACACTGTGGATTAGGTGTTGGACTGCTGACTTCAAAGTCAGTGGTTCAAACACACCAGCTGCTCTGTGGAAGAGAGATGAGACTGTCTGCTCTCATAAAGATTCCTAGTCTTGGAAACCCAATATAGGGTCTGAGTCAGAATTGACTTGATGGAAGTGGGACTTTGGTTTGGAATGTCAAGGTCATGATTTACTATTCTGGTATGAATCTGGGGCCATAATGTCTTTAATGAAGACTGGCAATGGCTAGCTAGCCAGACTCCCATTGGAATCAGCTGGTCTGTGTACTTGTAGTAAATGTATTTGAATCAACGAATGTTCACTCATATGCTACCATTAATTTTGCTATAACTTTTCCAGAAACTGAAGTACATGAAAATATATAATGAATGTATGTTCATGGTACATTGCTAACCAGTTTGGGAGTCTATAAAATGTCTATGATATTGATATATTAATGGAATTCCCAAGTAAAGCATTCTAATATTTTGTTGTTGTTGTATGCTGTCAAGTTAGTTCTGACTTATAGTGACCCTGTTCTAAGGAGTGCTTGGTGGATTTGAAGTGCTTAGCTTAGAATGTTAGCATTCCATTGCTTATCTTAGAATGTCACACCAGGACTCCATTTCTGACATATCCTTTATCTATATCAAATAGCAAATTTTGTTTTAAATTCCAATTTTTCAGATAGCTTAAATAATTTTCAGCCAGTATATGTTATAAGCATGAATCATCATATATAGAATTAAGGAAAAACAAAGAGGGGTATAATAGAGACCAGTTGAATTCATATTTATTTCCTGTGAGTTTTAGTGTTGGAGAGGGTTTATTTAAACCAATAATTGAACTCTCTGGTTAACACAGGAAAAGTATAGTTGGCAGGATTTTTTTTGTTTCAATGACATCAATTCAACACATTTACTGCGCTGGGTTGTGTGGTTGAATAGATGCGTATTGTATGTATGTACCTTGTAAAACCAACCAACAAAACCGAATCTGTTACCACTGAGTCATTCATAACAGCTCTGCAGGACACAGACTAACTGTCCAATAGGGTTTCCAAGGCTGTTAATCTTTAAGGCAGCAGACTGCCTCATTACAGGGAAGCATTGAATTGCTGTACCACCTAGGCTTCTTAGGTGTCCTACAGGGGGTGACAATTTAGTGAGGCTAGATTGTTCTTACTATCACATGGAAGAGGTCCCATTGTCTGGGACCCCATGACTTTGTATGCTAAAGAGATTCAAACTGAAAAAGAGCCAGAAGGACGCCTGCCTGGGGTCAGAAGCCATTCTTAAGCACAGTGGCGGCATCTTGCACCACAGCAAACGCTAGCACTGAAGTAGGACTCACTCTTTCTCAGTACACTCAAGCCTTCGGAGTGTGTCTCATATTTGTTACTTAACAAGAACAACAGGAACTGCCCCACAAGGTTTTGGAGAGTTGGAAAAAGAAAGCACAGTTTACGACAAAAGCTAGCAATGTGTGGATGTTTGTTGGAGCAATTCAGGATTGCTCAAGTTTTTGTTTGGTTTGTAAGTAGGAGAATGTAGCCATGAAAACTGGATAATGTGAGCGTCTATTTTAGTCTGAGTAATGCCCCGTAGTTTCCACTCTTTTCGTCTCTGTTAGTCTGAACGGTGCCCCGAAGTTTTCACTCTTATGTTGAGCAGTATGATTATTGCTTACTTGTGTATTATTTTAGTTAATTTCTCAAAAGTGTTCAGAACTTTAGGAAAGTATTTTCAAATGCCTTCTGGGTTTACGTAACAATCATTCTGAACATTAGGTTAATATCCAAATTAGAATTTACAACAATGAATGCAATATAAAACGTTACATGGAATTATGTTGTTGGTAAGTGCCATCGAGTCAGTTCCGACTCATAGTGACCCTGTATAGAGTTTACCAGGAGCGGCTGGTGAGCTTGAACAACTGACCTTGCAGTTCAAAAAGACTTTGCAGTCTAGCGAATTAACCCACAGTGCCACATCAGGATTCTGAGTCACAATTTATCAAAATGTTCAGTTCTATCTAAATAATTCTAATAGCTATTAAATAGTACAGTATATACAATACAAAGGAGCTCTGATAGCATAGTGGGTATGAATTGGGCTGTGAACCTCAAGGTCAGCAGTTCGAAACTACCAGCTGTGCCCCAGAAGAAAGATGAGGTTTTCTGCTTCCGTAAAGATGTACACCCTCGGAAACCCTGTACAGGGTCTCAATGAGTTGGAACCGACTTCACTGCACGTAATCACCACCACCACCACCATACAATACAAGCACTCTATTTAATATGCAAGAGTACTTTTGTTGGATGTTCATTGTAAGATGTACAACACAAACACAATGTACTGGAACAATGTACTAATTACCAAACAAGCTTTGGTAAGCACGGATTCTTTAAACTTATTTGAAGATAAGTATAAGGGGCTTAAAAACATTTGAAGAGTTGATGGTAAAACTCCATTATCTTTCAATTCCATTTTCCAAAAGCTTTTAGAGTCCCTTCCCCAGGTTGATGATTGTTTATGTGTCTTGAAACAAGGTAATTGGAAACTTGCATAGAATACTAATAGAGAATCTGCAGCATTGTGTGGCATTTGGAAGTGTTTAATTCATTGGTTTTTGTATTGGTACCTAGGGACCTCCGTGGTGCAGGTAACAGCGACAGATGCGGATGACCCTACGTACGGTAACAGCGCTCGAGTGGTCTACAGCATTCTGCAAGGACAGCCATACTTCTCCGTGGAACCAAAGACAGGTAAAACCAAACTGGGATCATGCTTGTAAAGTCATGATTTACAGCTTGGCTTAGAATTTATTTGAGTTTTTTTAATTAAATTATTAAATATAGTACCCACTGATGTTGTTTCTATTGTGTGCAGTCTAGTCGGTTCCCACTCATAGCGACACTGCATAGGGTTTCTGAGGCTGCAAATCTTTGTGGGAGCAGAAAACTTCATTTTTCTCCCACAGAGCACCTGGTGGGCTCAAACTTCTGACCTTGTAGTTGGCAGTCCATTGCTTACCTATGGAGTCACTGTGCTCCCTCAGCACTGATTGTTGTTGGTAAGTGCTGTTGAGTCGGTTCCCACTGATAGCCACCCTGTATAGAGTTTCCGAGGAGTGGTTGGTGGGTTTGAACTGCCGGTCCAGAGCACTATCCTGCAGCGCCACACCAGATCGACGCTTTTTATTTCATTTTTCTCACTAGGTACATTAGCCCAATAAACAGTATGTTGTTTACGTTGTTATTGTTGCTAAATGCTGTTAAATCAGTTCCAACTCAGAGCGACCCTGTATAGGGTTTCCGAGGAAGGAGTGGCTGGTGAGTTTGAACCACCAACCTTGTGGTTCAGACTGACCTTGGGGTCCAGTGCTTTATCACCAGAACACCACACCAGGACTGCATAAATAACTTTATCACCTCTTTCTAGAATATTCTATTTCGTTTATCGTTATTCCCATCAAAATTAATCACAGTATTAAGTATTAAAGCCCCTGATGGGTGCAAATGGTTAAACACTGGGCTGTTATCCAAAAGGTTCGCTGTTCAAGTCCACTCAGAGGCTCCTTATATGAAAGGCTTTCTTTCATGAAGGTTGTTGTTGTTAAAGTGCTGTGGAGTCGGTTCCAACCCAAAGCGACCCTGTACAGGGTTTCCGAGGCTGTAAATCTTTACGGGAGCAGAACGCCTCATATATCTCTCGTGGAGCAGCTGGTAGTTTTGAACTGCTGACCTTGCGGTTTGTAGCCCGATTTGTAACCACCACACTACCAGAGCTCTATTTCATGAAGGTAGCAGCCAGGAAAACCCTGAGAGACAGTTAGCAAGGGGTTCCCTGAGTTCGAATCGATGTGACAGTGATGGATAGGGATTACATATTCAAAGTCTCCCAGCTACCTCTGCTGACTAATAAGACAGTTTATTTTTTATTTTTTATTATTTACTATTAAGTTTTTTTCTGTGTATTTAACAAATTTACATCAGGATTATCAACAGGGAAATTTAAATCTCAGGCAAAAATCTAATTTCATGCAGCAGAATAGCAAGTGGGTTCAGTTTACGGTTCCAGGGGTTGATGTCTCAGGAAAATTGGTCTAAACATAACAATTATGTTGATAATCTGATAAATCAAACTACATTAACATTTTTTAAGGGGGAAAAAATTCTTTCTAAATTGTAAAATTGCATGGATAGAATATTTGGGTTTGAAGTAGGGTGCATTTAGTAAGATTGGAAACTGGACCTTTATTCTCTTGGTTATAAAATAACTAGTGATTGAAACTGTTTTTCAATCTAGTCTGCTATTCTGACTCTGTGGAGGGATGAGTGGATAAGTGCTGGGGGGGCGGGGTAAGTAGGTGGGTGGGTGTCATTGATCCTTTTCACCAGTGTGGAAATTTATTTTTCTACGTTTTAAAACTTTGTAGTTTACCATGGAGTAGATTCCTTCTATCTGAGCTTATGATTATGAGTATTTGATACGTACCTATGATCCTAAATGGTGACTTTAGTGCCCTGATCTTATTTTCCATATTGTCAAAAACAGTAATATTAGTTCATTTTCAATTCACTGTGCGAAATAAATGTTTTAAATGTATTTTGACAATGATAGTTACCACAGCACATAAGCAACGGTGTAAATTGAAGCCTAAAACATCTACAACTAAACCCAGTGCTTTCGAATCACTTCTGACTTATTAATGTCCTGAGAAAGCAGAGTCCCATACAGTGTGCAAGCTGTGATCTTTGTGGAGCTGTAAGATAAACACTAGACTGCTAATCACTAGGTCGGCAATTCACACCCACCAACCGCTCCTTGGAAACCTTGTACAGAGTCCTCATGGGTTCACTCTGACTCGACGGCACTTAGAAACACCAGCAATCTTTACAGACAGAGACTGTCATATCTTATTTCTGTAGAGCAGCTGCGGAGTCCAAACCACTGATCTTTACGTTAGTAGCTAAGCACTGTAACCACAGTGTCACCCTTGTTGTTGTTGTTAAGTGCCATCAAGTTGGTTCCAACTCGTAGTGAACCTGTATAGGGTTTCTGAGGAGTGGTTGGTGAGCTTGAACCACCGACCTTGCTGTTGAAACCATCCTTGCAGTCCAACACAGTAACCTGCATCTGCACACTAGGACTGCACTGTGCCCCCCTAGTTTTCCATTATCATATTCATCAAGGCCACAGTATTGTTGTTTTTTTATACCATGTTGATGGTAGAGTTTAGAAACCATGTGGAAAATCTAATAGAAATGAAACAGTTCTGATTACAAAGTAATGAGGGACAAGGAAATGAAAGGATTTGACATGTGATAGAAATCTTGTGAATGTAGAAAGTGTGCTGGTGGTTGACTTAATGATAGATCTAAGAAACAAATTCAAACACCCACCCCTTCCCTTATATATCTACTCTTTGAAGCCTAGAAAGGCAATGACAAGTTTCTGACAATTTGTTCACAAATTATACACTTCTGCATTATATAATTGGCTCTAAAATAGCATGTGCTGATTTCAAGGGTTAAATATTTTGCTGCTGGTGATGACTGGCATGTGATTTTTGACTTTTACTGTCGCATTTCTGGTTCTTCATATCACATGTGAAGGGAAGGTCTTCCTAGCGATCAACGGAACTATATTTTATGCCCATAGCAGTTAGAATTTTACTAATGGTTTGAATGGCAGAGCCTAAAGGATCATGTATTTTGTAAGAGATGAACACAGTTTAGTTTTATTCTGTCTTGTTGTTTTCAATGCCCGGTAACATACATTCATCAGAGTCCTTTTTCTACAGTTTCTAGTGCAGGGAACATCCGGGCATTTTTGTGCTCTCTGCTATTTTGATAATTCTTTGGAGGGAAAAAAAAGTATTTTTCTGCCAAAGCTGAAAGTTTTTAATCTCTCAGAGCACCGAGAGCTGTAAATGAAGTTCCATTTAGTCTTTCTACATGATGTCAGTCTGGTTCATAACTTTGAAAGATAAAACATAATTCCCTACATATCCAAATCTAAGAGTTTTCTGGAAGAAAGTAAGACATTTGACAGGCAAAATGTTGAAGGTATGCGAAATAAAAATAATGTAAAAGTGGGGTGCAGCAGTTACCACTGGATATATTTTTATAGCTGTTTAACTTCTAAGATAGTTGTTGCTGTGAGCTGTAGAGCTGGTTCTCATTCATAGCGACCTTGTATAGTGTTTCCACGGAGTGTCTGGTGAGCTTGAACTGCCAACTTTGTGGTTCAAACCGACCTCGCAGTCCAGTGCATTAGGAAAACCTCAGAGCTCAGGTACCATTGGTATTGGGCACCCAGATCAAAGACCCAGAGGTTAACTGTGGATCATTCCAGAAACCAATGTTGATCATTTGCTTCCACAAGTGTAAATAGAATGGCAGCAGAAACAAAGGACTGTAGCATTCGAAGGATGCTCCTCCTCATTATCTTCCTGTTGTCCTCAGCCTTACTGGTGTTGTTACTGCTATGTGCCGTCCAGTTGGGACCAACTCATGGCAACTCTGTGTGGAGTTTCCAAGGCTATAAATCTTTATGGAGCAGAAAGGTTCAACTTCTTTCCAGGAAAGACTGATGGTTTCAAACAACCGACCTTGCGGTTTGCAGCCCAAAGGGTAACCCACTGTGCCACCAGCACCCAAACCTACTGGTAGACTGAGGACTGTTTCTAAGGGATATTGCGCTATCGTATAACTGACAACCCAACCGATCCCAGCTTCTTTTTTGTCGGTGCCACTGGCAAAACTGGCCATGTATTTTAAATTCAGAATGAAAATGCAGGGACCTCTGTTTTAAATCATTTTTAAGAACTTCAGGCTTAACTAGTAGAGCAGGAACCCATACTCACAAAACAAATCCTGGGAAATGGATTGAATGTTAAACATCACTTGGAGATTAGAAGATTTTTGCTAGACCTTGTTGTTGTGATTATCTGTTGTCATTTTTTTCCCTCAAAGAGATTCACCTTTTACATCTTATGTTTAAAATAATAATACATACATATATCTATATAAAGATATATATCTATATAAAGATATATATCTATATAAAGATATATATATATATATATATATAGATCTTACTTTGGAAACTAGGTTAATTTTCCCCTGAAGAGTTTTCTTTGTTAAGCAGCATTCTGAGCTATGTAAGAACCTGGAATGTTGATTTCCTTCCTGTTTGATTTACTACTGATAAATGTCAAACTATAAAAGAACCAGACTTTATTTTATTGACTATTTTATTAAACCCATTTATAATTAATATCTTTGTGTTTAAACTCTCAAAATCAAAGGATTTTTTTTTTTATTAGAACACTGGTTTAAACACGGATGCTTTGTCCAATTTCCAAGGCCATTTGAATTTAATGTTCAAGTGTCATGAGTATTTATTTTCCTTAAATAGTAAAATTGCTTTGTCAAGCATATATTTCTTTGTACCCGAATTCCTACGTTTTTGTCTTGATAAAATAAGAGAGTTGCTTCAATCTAGCATTTATTCAACAGACTGTTGCACAAGTATTTAACACAGTGCTGTATAATATGTTAATGCATAATTGGTTTTAGTTTTTATATAGTCCAGGATGTTTACTTTCCCAACACAATCTAAGTCACAAAGATGGTCACACCTATGAACATCTGTCTGTCCCATTCTACATTTATTTTTTATTTTTTAATGTTATAAAGTTTTCCAGTATATTTTTATATCTGTGTTTAAATGTAAAAGAATTAGAGTACATTTCAGT